ACTATTACAACAGACATTAATGCACTAAGGCACTAGGCACTAGACTTGGTTTCTGTGTACTTAGGCGTTTTCTATTTGCCTATCTTAAAAAATTATCGTAAATCGTTTGTGGGTGGCAGGAATTGAAATTGAAATCGAAGTTCAATCGAAGCGGCACTATTTCCGAAATCAAAATAGTAGTGTGTTTTGCTTTAGTGACTAATTAAATTGATATTTTGGGCTTTATAAAAGTAATAGGCTAGTATCGGTAAACAGATCTTTGTCGATTAATAATCGATAACTAATGAAAATCATATTATTTTTCGAAACACTTCTTTTAACAAGATTTTAAAAACAAACATTAATGGTATATTATATATTACCCTAATTACAACATATCACTATCAAAAGCAATATAAGACATATGAAGTACCTGAATCCTTGCTCATTATATACGTTCAAGGAAAACAAATATTAGTTTTTTAGAAAATTATATTAAATAAATAAAACCATAAAAAACCTAATATAAAAATTCCTAATAAAGGATGCGTGACCTTCTCTATTTATACGCTGTAGAACAGGTCATATTTTTGATTATCTGTTAAATACATTCACGCTAATAACTTCATTTACTAATTAACCGTTACGACATTGAGATATTTTAATATAAATAGAATAGCATTTGATTCAAAAATCAGTGTCCTACAAAGACTTGAATATTTAAACATTATATCTGATTATTTGGATTAGCATCAAAGCTATTATTGAAGCTATTATATAAAATTTTAAGAAATATAATATAACATAAGAAGTAATATGGAAATTCTAGTAGAGGAAAGCATATCAACATATAACGCTAAACAGGAGAAGAAATATAGAAGAAGAAATAGAAGATTACTTAAAAAATTTGAAAAAGAAGTAACCTCGATGAATGAATTATTATGGAATAATTATCAAGATGCCGCTACATATTTGGTAAAGTTGACAGATCAATTCAAAACACTAGCATCAGTTTATGATAACATTGAATCAGAAGATTATGAACTCGATTTAGAGGATGACTACTTTGGAATACAAAGGCATTTTAGAATAACCCGGAGCAAATTACAGAAAGATATAAGAGAAAGTCAAAAACTGACCGATGATGACGAACAACGTTCTAAAATATTGAAGAAACAATTTGTTTGCAAATATTGGGCTTCAGGACGTCAATGTGCATGGGGACTGAAATGTAGATTTTTCCATCCTGGCAAAAAAGATAAATCCAATTATGACATAATTTGCTCACAAACTAATATTACTATGACCGTATCCAAACATTCAAATACAGACAAAAATAGTGGCTGTCAATCAAAACGTTCTTCAATATCCAGTCCAAATATCGATCGATCTAATATTGTAGATAATGCATGGAAACGCGAATCCATTAAACGAAAAATACAAGATACCGATTTCGAGGAAGAAACAATGAATACTCCACCTTCACTACAAGTCATAGAATACGATCATTGTAATGCTGAAGGAATAAGGTCTCCTAAGATGGTTATGAGAACTTACAATCATCATAATATTGATAATAAAATCAGTGCTTGTGAGAAATTATATAATTTTAATCATTCACCCACATCATCAGATGATCTTGATACTTACAACCGTCGATCACATCACATAAATTTGCCTTCGCATCATAAGCAGCATTATGAGAACGATAATGTATGGAATGGTTCGTCAAATGTGCAGCAATCAGAATATCAGAAAAACTCATTACTTGACGGAAATGAAAGAAAATCTTTAGTTGATAATTACGATTCAATATCACGCTGCACAGAATTGCCTTCATATTGTTTACAGCAAATTGAAGACGAGAACGATGATCGCCATGCATGTTATTTATCACGATCTTCAACACATAAACGAAATGTAAGAACATATTCAGATGACGTTGAGTTGCCTCCTCATCATGGGCGGCAATATGAAGTCGAGAATGAATCGATAGATTCATGGTTGCTACCAGAATATCCAGTAGATTCATCACATGACGAAAGCTGTTTTAATGATGATAGTGAATTGCCTCTGCAAAAATATGAAGTTGAGAATGCATGGAACGAATTATGGAAGCTGCCAGAATCCCCGGAAGATTCACCACAGAGAGCGCAGTGTTAATTATGAAGCTAACTCTTCTTATTCTAGATAAACTAATTCTAAACTAATTAACCAGTATTTTAAAGAATGCGGTTGTATTTTCAAAAATTTTAATCCATTAATTAAAAATATAAATTTCGCACATAAGATTGAATTATTTAAATTGAAATAAATCTAAATTCTAAAATCTAAATTACTTTTATAAATTTTCAACGCTGAGTAAAAGCTCTGATCGAACAACTAAAAATTGTTTGAAGATTTTTCAGGTTTTTGAAATTTCTTGTGGACCTTGTGGAATGCTTTCCTCACCTACATATCATGTCATGTAATTTTTTATCTGCACCGTTCTTCTAGTTCTTCCTTGCGGACTCAAAAGTTGATAATCAATTTCATTATGTGGTTTCCTTAATGTGTATCGAAGGTGTGGTACCCTTCTCATAATTATAAAATGGATTGTGGTTAGGCATCTAAATATTGGATTGTACTTAATATAAGATATTTAATAAATTTGTGCCAGTTGCCGATCTGTAAAAAAGAACGCTGAATTATAAACAAGAATTCAATATTTAAATCTTTATAGAAAGTTTCATAGATTTTAAATTTGTTAAGTTGAAGTTTTCTAGTCCTGCTTCAGCCAGTCTAGTTTCTATGTTTGTTATCGCCTGTCATAAAGGAAAAATTATACTTACTATTAATATTAGTAGCAAAAATTTTATGTAAAAACTTTGGTATTGCAGATAGAAGTGAAAAAGATTTTTTTTCACATTTTTACTGTTAATTAAAATTAAAAATTTTTTTTTATAAAAACATAAAAAATTATAATTTTTTAATTAGTAGTATAAAAAACATTTACTCTTAAGTTTTTTAGAAAACATGAACTATTTCTTAGGGGAATTTCGTAAGGGGGGCAAACCACGACACTTTTGGACTTTAAAAACTATATTTAAGGAAAATTTCATTTCCATATCTCTCCTAGTTTAGAAAACACCAAATTTTCATTTTTGCACACTGTGCGTCGGTAGACTATATGTATATTGACTCTTGGAGATACTCCAGGGTAGGCTGATACTGTCTTCTTGTCATCCAAAAGTCCAATATCCCGCTAAGATGACAGATCTACCCCCTTTCGGTTTGCTTCTGTGTCCCAAATTGAAGTTTCTACATATAATATAAAAGGGGCCATGTAGCTCTTGACCTGGCTGCTGAATAGTATGAGTCCACTAGCTTATTTCCGCGCTCGTTTTCTGCTATATTGAAATGTCATTTTAAATATATATTGTTGTGAATATGGCATTTAAGCAAAATTTGATATAATTTCTAGGAATGTCAATAATTATTATAATAATTACTTGAAAAATGCACTAAACTGAAGTTGCATATGAGAATCATATGATCGCGAACGATCACGTAAATAGGGTGGCACAAACGCAACAATATTATACTAATAGTTGTATACTATATAATCTAGTATAGTATACAACTTATATAGTATATATTATACCATATAATATATGTATACTATATATACTATTTAATATGGAGTATTTAAATGTTTTGAGAAAGCGAAATGGTAGAGTATTTTGTTTCAGCGAAAAGTTAAATATTTTCGGTCCTATTTGTCAAAGATTGTTTGCAGAGACAGAAGAATAATTTTTATTTTTATTGCATCTTTTTATTTAATTAAAACACGATAATCGAAAAATCAACTGTTTCAGTGCACCCCTATCCCTAAACCTCTTTAGAACGTCAATGATTTACGGTATTAAAATGGGTCCTAGGATATAAAGCACATACGAGTTATAATATGCCCAATTATTAAACTTAAAGTTAGATTAAAAGTTAATTGATCTCCTCTATGTACTTATAATAAGTCACTCGCATGATTCGCATAAAGAAAACAAATTTAGAGGCATCTATCTTAAGAGTATTAGCTATGCCAAGAAGGATCATTTTTTAGGCCAATAAAAAGAATATTCAATAAGTTACTTTTGCTAGATAGGATTGACTTAAGAATTCAATCTGGTCACTTTACAGGTTATAGGATTGACCTAAGAATTCAATCTTATCAGTTTAGAGGTTACTGTATGGTGATATATAACTTAGCAACAATATTGGAAACAATATTGATGTTTGATGATTTGTCCAATGTCTTTTCAATTTATCATATTATTTCCTATACACAGATTAGTTGAAATGTTCAAAATAGATCACCTTTTTAATGTGACATAATTAGAAAAGATTATATAGTACAAATTTGTACTAAACCCAGGATCATCCCAAAAAATTTAAGGCTCTCTTGTGACAATTTTACTGTTAAAAACTGTTACAGTTAAGGTTCGTTAAGATGAGATTTTGTTCATATATAATATTTTGTTTTTCTCAGAATCATATTATTATTCAAAAGCCTTTTTTTACGAAATTCTAAAAATAAGCATTAATGATATATAATATAATACCCTAATTAAATAATGTATCAAATTGAAATTACAGTATTACAATATAACTAATATGAAGTACCTGAATCCTTGCTAATTATATATGTTCAAGGAAAACAAATACATAGAAAAACATATTAAATAAATAAAACCATAAAAAACCTAATATAAAAATTCCTAATAAAGGATGCGTGACCTTCTCTATTTACGCTGTAGAGCAGGTCATATTTTTGATTATCTGTTAGATACACTCGCGCTAATATTTACTAATTAACCTTTACGATATTGAGATATTTTAATATAAATAGGATAACACTCGATTCAAAAATCAGTGTCTAACCAAGACTTGAACGTTTGAATATTATTTCTAAACATTTTGATTAGCATCGAAATAGAAAAGTAAAAATTTATAACAAGTATAATATAAGAAGAAGAATTTAAGAAATGGAAAATCTACAAGAAGAAAACATGTCAACATATTCCATTAATCAGAAAAAAAGAAATAGAATATTAATCAGAAAATTTAAAAGAGAAATAACCTGGATGAAGGAATTATTATCGGATGCTTATGAAGATGCCGCTACTTATTTGGAAGAGTTAAGAGATCAATTCAAAGCAGTAGCAGAAGTATATGATAACATTGAATTAGAAGACAATGAATTTGATTTAGAAAGTGAATACTTTGGATTACAAAAGAGTTTTAGAATAACCCGGAGCAGATTGAAAAAAGAAATAAATGAAAGTTTGAAGATGACAGAGATCCACTGTGAACCAAATTCTGTAAATGGCAATTATTCAGTATTCGATCCAACTAATATTATCATGGACTATCGATCAGAACGTTCTTCAAGGTCCACAAGTAATGATGTACTTGCTGTAAGTCGATTAAACTCTAATCATCAGAATCCAACAATATCCAGTTCCGATCAACCTGATATTATGGATAATTCATTGGAACGTCAAGCAATTAAACGTAAAATACAAGATACCGATTTCGAAGAAGAAACAATGAATACTGCATCTTCACTAGATGTCATAGAAAATGATCACTGTTATGCCAAAAGAAGTAGATCTAACAACATGATTATGAAAACTTACTATCATTATGATATCTTTAATAAAATTAGTGCTTATAAAAATTTGCACCAATTTAATCGTTCACCCTTACCATCTGATGATTCGTGGATGGAGTCAGATGCTAAAGAAGAGAATGAGTCAATAGATTCATGCAGTCTATCAGAATCTTCATCACAAGAACTACCAGAAGACTCATCAGATGGCGAAAAATCTTTTGATGATATTGAATTGTCTTCACATCGTATGCAGCAATATGAAGACACAGAATCGAAAGAATTACCAGTAGACTCAGCAGATGACAAAAAATCTTTTGATGATATTGAATTGTCTTCACATCATATGCAGCAAGATGAAGTCGAGAATGAACCGAGAGATTCATGTTTGCTACCAGAATTAGCAGTAGACTCTCCAAGAGACTCTACAGTAGAATCTTCAGTAGACTTTTCAGAAACCGAAACATCTTTAGATGATGATAGTGAGTTGTCTTCAGAATTGTATGAAGATGAGAATGTGGTAGAATTAATATTCCTCGAATATGAAATAATAGAACACATCTTCTTCTTTATAATCTAGATGTATTTAGATGATTTAGATTAATTTAGAATTCAGAAATTTTCAATAAACTAAACCTTAATTAAAAATATATGCACATTTGAGAAGATTGAGGCAATTCCTTTTTAATAAATAAAAATGGAGTCAGATTTGATGTAAAAGTCTATTTTAAAAAATATATTGTTATAAATAAAATATGATTTAATCAATAAAATTAGAAAATTGAAATTATTTGTTTTAATTTATTCAAATTTTTTTTTATTCAATCATCGAATCTGATCATTAAAGTTAAAAACATACGTCATTAGATCAAATGAAGAACACTTTGGTCACCAAGCTTTTAGGTTGGAAATTTGTTAACAAATTTGTGATTGCTGGAGTGTATAGTCAGTCAAGTTTCTGTATAAAGACTTGGATTAAATTTTCTGAATATATCTTGGACGAAAAGCTTCCCGGAAATTTTAAATAAAACGCAAATTCTTAATCTTATCAATATTTATTTTTTCTCCTTCAAAATATGCTCCATTAGAAGCGAACAACAATGGCCACGTTCTTCCAATCATCAAAACATTTTTATAGGCGCTTTCCGGTATGGCTTTGAGTTCCCTCTGCGAATTCTGTTTTACGTCTTCTATGGATTCAAAACGCGTTCCTCTGAGTGGTAATTTGAGGTTGGGAAACAGGAAAAAGTCACACGGTGCAAGATCAGGTGAATACGGTGGCTGTTCGATGGTATTTATTGAATGTTTGGCCTTAAAATCGTTGATAATGTTGAACAAATTGAGGTGAATCGGAACAAGCCGGGCGTTGACACGTCGCATACACAAATTGTCCACCAAAATCAAACGAGCCATCTCACGACCGATGCCTAGCTCTCGTGCTATCTCTCTAACACTCACATGAGGATTTTTGAACACGATTTCCTTTGCCTTTTCAATGTTTTCGTCGGTGGTAGAGGTCGAAGGTCGTCCAGAACGCGGCATGTCTTCGACGGTCGTACGACAGTCCTGAAAGGCTTTGTACCACTCATAAACTTGAGTTTTCGATAAAACTGATTCCCCATAAGCCTTTTGTAGCATTCGCAACGATTCTGCACACGAAATTTCGTTCGAAAAACAAAATTTGATGCAAACTCTTTGTTCAATATTTTTTTCCATTGTTTTTTTCGCAACGCACTACTGAGGTGAACTGGTTTCAACAGCTGCCGTAAACGAACTGTCCTGAGAATCGCGCTCATTTGGCATGTAATAAGGACGTGCTGCCCAACACATAAACTTAAAATATCGAAAAATATACAGCGCGCGAATTTTAAATGAGAACCTCCGAAAACTTTTCGGTCACAATGTATAGACCTCTTGAGATTGTTCTATGAATATCTAACTAGTATTCCGGATACTAAAAACAGGATGTATGATAACGGATTGATGAAGGAATTTGCATAGTCATTGTCCACTTCCATTAAACTCATGTTTATGGAAAAATAATAATATTTATAACTTTTTTTTAATAGACTAAAATAGAATAGACTTCGTTTAATGTTTGATTCCGAAAATGGAATTTAAAATAGTTATAACGAAAACGACATTTTCTTTGATTTTCGTTAAAAAAATCTTTCAAAAAATCAAAGAACTTGACTAATTCCTAAATTGAAAATGCAGTGAAAAAATAATACATAACATACAATATTTTTATAGTAGTAGTATAAGCAGTAGTACTAGTATTAGTAGTACTAGTAGCAGTAATAATAATAGCAGTAGTAGTAGTACTACTAGCAGTGGAAGTAGTAGCTGTAATAGCAATAGTTGTAATTATAATAGTGTCAGTAGTAGCAATAGTCGTAGCAGTAGTAATAGCAGTAGTAGCCGTAGCAACAATAGTTGTAGTAGCAGTAGTAGCAATATTCGTAGTAGTACTAGTAGCAGTAGTAGAATAAGTAGTAGTAGTAGTGAAATAAATAGTAGTAGTAGTAGTATAAATAGTAGTGCTTAGATCTAATAATCTTGGGAAATGGCATACCGTACCGACGACTTACATTCTAAGTAGGATTGTCGAATTCTAGATAGTTTGAACTCCTAAATAAGTAGTTTATAGCTCGTGTCGCTTTTCATCTTGAGATGTGATCAACTACTTTGGACCTGGCAATAAAACATGATCGTTTTTCTGTAATAGATACGAGTATAAAGCAAAACTTAGAGTTTGTCTAGAATGTACCCAGGTTAGCTAACTCCTCAACTGTCTCGTTCACTTTTGTTTATCATTCGATAATCGTATAAGCAATTGTAAGATTCAAACGCATTTTTATTCCTCAAATCTCATAAATCTTTAGTTTTCTGATTTTGTTTTCAAATGGAACTTTCTTATTTACATATACAGTATATAGTATATAGTATACATTAAAAATACATTTTTATTAAACGTTTATTCTTGTGCTCAAATTGTAATCAATCATTTCTTCTACATGCAATGTAAAATTCAATTATTTTTATTTATGACTTAATTACTTCCAACTTACATATTTGGCAGTGAAGCACATTTGTTTCTTTATTCCAAATACTTGAGTCTGTATTTATAGACTTATAAATACAGAATACAGAATATTCGATTCGAATGATTTAAACGATTTTTCTGTGTTATCCACAAGAGTTGAGCGGCGAACAATTATTGCAAAAACTAAATTTCCAGCCGAGCAATTACACCGAATATAAAATAAACTCCTACACTGACAGGCACACTGGTGTGCTGGGTCGATACGCGGCCAAGATAAACATATCGGAGATACTTAAGTGTACTGAAGAGGCCTTCAACTTTTTGATTAGAAAAAAAAAAGATAATGAAACTCAAAAAAAGAAAAAAGTTCATTCCAAAATGTGTTGCACGGCGCTTCATGGACTCAATAAGTATTTCAAATTGGAATGAATTCGGGTCATGCTGCTTTCTAATTTAACTTAAAATCATTTATATTATTTTGTTTATTTATTTTTCACTATATTAATGTCTTTTTTTTATTGAATTTTTTTTTCTTCAATATATGAAATTTTGGCCATATGCTGCTCTGCAGATTCTGTTAACAATTCGCAAAATGGCTGTCAAATGATAAAAACAACGGCAACCCACAAGCAGCACAGCAAGAGAAGAATGAGGATCGGATCGGCATCGCATGAAGTTCGGAACTTGAGTTACTGCAGCTCAGCTCTTTTGGCAAATTCTGCGGGATTTTATTTGGTTCAGTACATCGGGAAGGCAATATTCTCTACGACATATATTTTTTTGATTTTTTTGACTTTTTCGTTTCTGTCGATCTACTCGCCGTGCATGCTTTTCTTCAACGGCGACGTCACAAGTTTTCATTTTGTTCAATTCGTCGCGTTTTAGTCGCCAAAAGCGTGTGCCACCGGCAAAACGTTTTCTTGACACGGTCGAGCACAAATTTTCCGTTTCATATAAAGTTTAATTTATTTATTTAAAATTATGATATGTGAAAATTTTTAATTTGTTTTAATCAAAATTGCACTACTAAATCAAAATAAAATGTTCAAAAAGAGAAAACCAAGAAGAAACTATGCAAATTTCAAACAAATGACAGACAGTGTATTTTGCTTATAAGCAAATTTGTGTTTTTATTTTTTTTTCTCAACCAAATTAATTGTTTAAATAAAAATATTTGTTTGTTAAATATTAAATTTAATGAAATAAATTTATAAATTTTATTTTTTTATTTTTGCTGAGTTAATTCATTTTGGTAAACAAAATAATTTTTAATACTCATGTAAGTATAAAAATTGTCGAAATCCATTCAAATTACAATGAAAATTATTGTAGGCGTATTTAGCGGCTTGTGTAATACTAAACGTTTATAGATAAATTTAAGCAATAATTTTGTGATAATAATTTATAATAACATTTTCACAACTGTTATTTTATACTTTTTATACTATCAGCTTCGAACAAATTCAATTTTAGAAATAAATTTGTAAGCTTTTTTTATTCAATAAAATTTGTAATTAGAATAAAATTAATGTTTAAAAATTTATATTATTATTTTTAGCATTTAAAACTAAAATAGATATACCTAACAAATGGAATAAATAATTTCAAATTTTTATATATTTAAATAAAATTAAAACTAAGTTATAATATAATTCAATGTGAGTAGTTTATAATATATTAAAATATGTGGATTATATCTCATATATGTGTATATAAAAAAAAATATATATATACAATCTGTACAATCTGTATATGTATACTTAACTTATCTATTGTATATATATATATATATATTTTATCATATAATTATAATTATATTGTTATATTATAGTTGGAAATATTTATAAAGATATATATAGATATATATCTGGAGACATAACATATTTCCGCACATTTTAATATTATATAAAGTATGTATGCAAATATATATTATATATACATATATATACTTATTGAACGATTCGATTTTAACGTCAGTTATGATGACAGTAACTATTTTACTTAATGAAAACTATTGTATTAAATAGAGAGGTTTCGACAACTGTATGGTCAACCAAAAATCAATTAATTAATATAACAAAAATAATAAAATTTGTTGTTGTTAAAATTCACTACTTTTCGAAACCACTCTGGTAAATGTTTATTTCAGAAAATTGGATGTTAAGGTAAAATGATTTACACTACACCTTTAAGATGAAGTGCTGTACTAAAAGAAGAAAGAAGGGTAGAAAATTGTTTTATAAACTACAAAGGAATTTTCAAACTTTTATTTTGGTTCCAAAGAAATAAGTACATAAGTTCAAAATTTCTGACTACTCCATTGTTACTTTTTGCATACATGTTCTGAGGAGTGATTACTACTGCTCTATTTTAACCGAAATCATGGTCTTCAGCTATATTCAAGTACTCCAATAACCATTTAGAGATCAGTTTTTATAGTTCATCATTTCCAGTCATCAAGAGATAGTCATAGCTGTTGTATATTAATTCACTAAATAATATCAAAATGATTATAAAGCTTATTTAATTCTTGATTTATTTAAATTATGGAACCAATATGAATACATAAAGATGCAATGATCTTGGTGAGAGTTTTCCTCATTAATGTGGTTACATTATTACGTATTACCTTTTTATGTTGTGGTGTTATGTATAGAAAAAAATTGCGATACATAGCTTATAAAGTTTAAGTTTTGTAGTTGAAACTCTATATCCCAGTTCTACATCGAGCCCCTAATAAAACATGTATTGTACTTTATTGTTTATGATAATTCTTCGTCCGTAAGACATCTTCCATATGTTATCGTTGTTATTGCGAATGATAGCCTCAAAATAGATAAGATCTCTAATAGCTTAGGTAACAATCCATTAACTATGTATCTTTTTGCTAGTTTCTGCTAGTAATTTGCTGTATCTGGTCTAATACAACATACCGTCAAGTTTGATAGATTCTAGCTTAAAAGAGCATTAATACTTCCTAAACCTAATGATATCGATATTGTCAGTCAATACATGAAGATGGACATATATATTAAATATTCTGTCTTAGCTGGAGTACATGGAGAATATTTTGGTGTATATATATATATATATATATATTTATATATATATTAAATAATTTCCTTTATGAATTTGAAGTGATTTCAGGAAAAGCGATTACCATGTGTAAAACTTAACATGTCGCGAAAAAGTTTGTAAATTGTAAACAATTGCGTAAAGTCATCTTTCAGAGTTGTATTAGCTTTTTAGGAATACCGATTTAAACTGCGGGTGCTTAAATCCAAAGAGTTCTCAAACGTACTTCAGTGTTTGCTGACAGTTAGTAGTTGATTATAAGAGTTGTACAACCATTTTTAGTGCATTATTAGTAGAAACATGTTTCAAAACACGACTCAAAACCTGATAGTTTATTTAAATACCACAGAACTGCATCAAATAAACTTATTAAATGCCTAGTAAACATGTTATAGATACTTATCGAATATGTTTTAATAAAATAATATAGCTTCAGAGATGTGTACTCATAGATTAACAGACACATTAATCTATTAATTAATGACAATAAATAAACAAAAAATAATATTTTTCATTTTAAAATTATAATTAATTTTTATTTTCTTATACATAGCTTGGAAAATTTTTACTGTGCTGATATTGCTAATGAAGAAGTATGATTCATTATATTTCAATTGAAACAATTTTTCCAAAATTAATTATCGATTATTATAACTTCACTTGAAAACACAAAAACAAATTGTTTTGTGTTTCTTTTCTATAAAACTTGGAAAATCCCCATAGATGTTGCATTTCATTCATATAACACATTTCATTATTAATTGATTCCATGAATTAGCGTTCCTAAATACTCTGAAGTGAACTGCTAATTTGAAACTTATATCTTTTATTAAATCTGAACTTTTGTGTTTTTACGATTGCACATAATTTACAAAAAACATAAAATTCTAACAACTTAGCTGTGTGCTTTTTTATTTTTTTATTGCAGACAGTAATTAAAAATGTATACACAAACGGAATGCCCAACCAATATGTTGAAGAAAACAGAAAGTTTTTAATAAATAAAAAAACAAAAAAAAAATAATAATAATAATTATAAAAATTCATAAAAGAATATATATTCTATAAAGCAACAAATGAACCCACACAAACATGGAACGAAAGACTCTCGCACGTACGCATCAGTCAATGTCAATTGGAGAAGTGCCAAAATGCGACGTAAACTGAAGATTTCCGAAAAAAAATATTTCAGTGAGTCTTATCGGTGATGAAGACATTGTAGTTGGCAGTACTTAATCGAGCAAAGTGTGTGTTTTATTTGTTGAAAAATAAGTACTAATAAATACAAGGTATAGAAATCTGGAGAACAAGAACATGGTTTTAGGAGTAACCTAGAAGTAATAGGATCTCTCTGATAACTAGCGAAGTTGCTTACGATATAAATGAACGGCCGTTTAATAACACAACCACTTATGATCATTAACTTG